TTAGCCACTATGCTACCAGAGCTCCCAGCAGGGCTCCTAGGGGCTGATATTTAAGCAGGACCTGAAGTCTGAAAGACAAGAAGGAGGGAGCCCTGCAAGGATCCGTGGGAGCAGCTCTGGTCCAAAAGATGGCAAATCAAAGTCCCCGAGGAGGGCCCACACTTGGAGTGTGCTGTTCACTGCAGTACCACATGGCATCCAGCACATAGTAGGTGCTTGAGAAACATTTGTGGAAAGAATGAAGAGGGAGGGTGAGTTTCTCACACGAAGCCCTCCAGGACCACAGTCTTTCTGTTTCGTTCAGTTCTTTCTAACAGTTCCTGGCTGAAGGGAAGCAGAGACCATTAGTCGTGGACAACAGAGGCAGCCTCTCTCTGTGCCTTCTGGCTGCCCTCTTCTCTCTTCTCCCCACCAAACCCGCCCTCCCCTGCACATCAACTTCAGGATCGGCTCTGGGGCTGCTCAGCCAATCCTGGCCCTTTTGAAAGACCTCAAAACCAAACACATTGTCCTCAAGTCGATTGCAACTCATAGAGGACCTAGAGGACAGAGTAGAACTGCTCTAGAGGAGTCCCAGGGCTGTTAACTCTTTACAGAAGCAGCCTGCCTCAACTTTGTCCTGCTGTGGATTTGAACTGTTCAGTGGGTTTGAACTGCCAGCCTTTTGGTTAGTAGCCCAATGCTTTTAACCACTGTACCACCAGAGCTCCTTTTTTGAAAGACAGTAGGTAGTCCATTTTCCTGTGCGGAAATTAGCAAAGGAGGAAAGAAATGCCTTGGCCTTTTCCGTCCGGGGCTTGGTGGCTCCGGAGATGGAGGATTTATTGCTTATGGCGAGGCGGAGACAAATGACCCACTAAAATGGAGACATTAACAACACTGTCGGCAGGAACCCTCCAAGCCCTTTGTGCCTTCGCTGTATTTCATGTTGCTCAGGTGCCCAGCCGCCCAGACTAATGACTGCCATCCATCAGTTGGAGACTGCTGAGGCAGGGACTCACGAGCCTGCCTCAGACACCCCAGCAGAGTGACTTTTAGAGGAGCTCGGTGGGGGGGTGCCCCTGTCTTTGGTGGGCTCGGGGTGTAGCAGACTGTGTTTAAGGCTTGAGACTTGCTTCTCTTCTCCCGGCCAGGCATTGGGAGCAAGACATAGGGAAGTTTGCATGTTACCAGCTGTGTGACCTTAGGCAAACCAGTTAACCTCTCTGAGCCTCAAATCCCCCTCTGTAAAATGAGATGTGAGGATATCCACCTTGCAGGGGGCATTGGACAATGAAATCTAGTGACAGTGACATCAGTAATCAGGAGGGGTGGTTAAGGGGCGGGGGTTAGGTTGGGCACCCCTGGGTGGCAGTCTCAGCCCTGCCATTCGTCAGCTGGGACTGAGACTGTCAGCTGCCCCCAGCATCCGTCCTCTGCTGCTCTCCCAGAAGGGAGCCCTGATTTTTAGCTGGCGCATGGCCGCTGACGGTAAAGGCTCCATCTCCCAGCTTCCCTTGGGGCAAGGCGGGATTACGTGATTGACGTCTGGCCAGCGCGACTCCAGCAGCAGCGCCACCGGCCTGGATGGGCTGTGCTGTAAAGGAAAGATGTGTGTTTCCCCTTCCCGATTCCCGCTGGCTGGAATGTGGGCGTGCGGACACAGCAGCGTCCTGGGGCTGGAGAGGCAACAGGAGAGAAGGAGCCTGGGTGCCCCCACCCCCACGCTGCCACAGTGGCGCTGGGCGGCTTCCACGCCTGCTGCCCGGGGGAGAGAAGGAAACCACATTCATGTTTAGGCTGCTGTCTGGCATCTCTGGCCCCTGCCCAGAACCAACGTGACAACCCGCACAGGCTCCGCAGCACGTGCAGATA